GTGTGATGTAATAAAACTATGTTGATTGCGGATATAAGTGTCATGTATCAGTGCCTCTATTTACTTTGATTGTTTATTTATAATTAAACAAAACAGCATTACTGGAATGTTTTTGTTTCTTGGTATATATGTGTATATAAGTTGATTTTTGAGTGATTAAAGGGGCTCTGTGAATTACTAATGCAAAAAGAGGCTGCTAAGATATTTCTTTATATTTTATGCTACTAGCAAAATTCTGTACAACTTGTGTTATCTTTTAATTATTAATTACTATATCAGTGTAAAGGTAAATATGCTTCTTGATAACATCTAATTAAAGCTTTTAATTTGTAAATTATCATGTTATCACACCTTAATGATACTAAGTTATTAAAGGGATTTTAAAAAATCCCTTTAATAACTAAGTATTATCATGCATTTAAAAAATAAATATGGATGAGAATAAAAAAATGTCTTTGATATATTCCACCACCACCCTTCTGTACTTTTTTCTCCTTTTTCTATCCATTATATTTTATCTTAGATTACTTCTATCCTCTGTATATTTAAAATGTAAAGTTTTGTGTTCAGTAAACTTTTATTATGTATTTGAGGTAGAAGTGTGTATTTTTAGTGAGTTATTTTTATGCAAATAATTCAAACTGAATGTCAACATAAGCAAAAGGAAATAAGTCAGACAGTATCTGTTATTCAGAGAGAAGAGAAACAAGTGAAAGTAAAACAAAATTTAGTAATTCATGAACTTCCACTTGGCATAGGTCCTTCATTGTCAAGAAAAGAATTCTATATAGATAAGTTATATACTGTATGCTTATCCAACTATTAATCACCAGCATGCTATATACCTTCTACACTGCTGCCCATTAAAATTGCAACACCATGAAGGAAAGCAAGTACAAAAAGATGTTTACTGCATGTAAACAAAATGATTAATTTGTAAATGACAAAATGATTAAATTTGTAAGCCTTTTGAGGGTTTACAGGGGTGTAAAATTAGCAGAAACAGCTGCCAATTATGGCAGTTAAAACATCCCTTACCGTATTAGACATGAAGTCAAGCAAATCATCCCATGCTGCTTCAAGTCTGTGCTACATTTCATCAACTGTATTAGCTGGAGTCTCTCAGCAACCTATGACCAGATGTTTTCAATAGGTGACAGATATGGAGACCGTGCAGGCCAGGAAGCAATCAAATACCCTGTGTATCTAGGAAGATCAGAACACGAGCAGGGCATTTGGGGGCCTTGAGGATAGGGCACAACCACTGGACATAAGATGTCAGAAATGTACCCATCTGCGTTCAAATTACCATTGATTCGAACTAAAGATGTGCATGTTATGTACCAAATGGCTGTCCAAGCCATCACACCAGATGCAGGGCCCCTATGCTGATATCGAATGCAAGCAGGCAACGTGTGGTTCCCTTGGACACATATACGAAATACTGCACAAGGAACTGGGACTCGTTTGTAAAGGCAACATTATGCCAGTCCTGTACCCAGCTTTGTTGTTTGATGCATTAGTGTCGCTGTCTCTCTCTATGTTGCATTGTCAAAGGAAGCTGAAGTAATGGTCACGCTGTTGCAAAAATGTCCATTCCCTGACTGATGGTTCGTGATGTGGTTGTACGGTTTTTCAGGGCCAACCTTGCAATATGTCTGTCCTCTCTGGCCTTACTCATGGAAGTGCGTTGAGATCCTGCATGCCATTCAGTATGACTCTCAGCATATATTGATTCCATATTCATATGACAGTAGGTGGATGTCATCCAGTGCGATCGGCAATATTACAGGATGATAATCTACACTTTCGATAGATAACCCCAATCCTGCCTCTATCGAATTTGGAAACTTGCTGGTAAGAATTTTCTCTTCTTATTGGAGGAATAACACGATATTCTGAGCAAACTCCAGCCTTTCAAAGCACTTTCTAAATGGGGAATCCACTATGTACCCTTTCTTTTATGCAGCATTTCAGATGTCGTTTCTTCCTTCTGCGTTGTCTAAATGAGCTGAAATACTAATCATTTGCATATCCCAACATCTTCCTTTCATGTGATTTTGACGTTCATCAGATTATTCCTTCTTGGTGTTGCAATTTTAACCATTTGAGTCCGGCAGAGTGCTACCGCGCTTCACTTGTCGTATGCCAAAAATACGGCGCAGCACGATAGTGCTTCTCTTGTTTTGTATTGAGAATGCGAAGATGCTGCTGTTGGTTAGTATATTTCACGTAATTATTGAGAGCAGTTGTAGTGGTATCAGTAGTAGTTATTTTATAGGTATTGGAAATTGTTTTCATTTTTTTACCAAGTGTTATACTGATAATTACGAAATACCCATGTAAGTTCTGATTCTTTTGATGAGAGTGGTAATGAGAGTATAGTATGACCTTGAAAGTGATAGTGGAAGTGACATCATGCTTTCTAAGAGATTACGAGTTATTAGTGACAGCAGTGATGATGATGAAGTAACGCAATACCTCCATGACGATTTATGATGAGTTTTTTACCCGTTGGATACAATTTTCCGAACGAATCGAATACTGTTTCTGAAAGATCTGGACCAAAGCATGCCCCTCTTCCTGATGCGAAACCAATTGAATATTTCAATAATTTTTTTTTCAATTTGCAATAATTTTTTTTTTTTTTTCCAAGTATACTAACCAACAGCAGCGTCTTCACATTCTCGATACAAAACAAGAGAAGCGCTATCGCGCTGCACCGTATTTTTAGCATACGACAAGTGAAGCACGATAGTGCTTCGCCGGACTCAAATGATTAATGTCCAGCCAGCGCTATATTACCGTGTTTGAGGTAAAAACCAAAGGAAAAGAATGACTTTTTCAGCATAAGACTCTCCTAATATAGTGATACAGATGCCTTCCAAAATGTGATTCATCCAGCCTCTAGAGTCTCACTCTTATCGTCAGTAGATTGTTAGCAAAATGCGAAGGAATTCTTCAGTTGTCGAGCAGTGCATGGCATGAACCTTCTTGAAAAGTTTTTCATTGCAATGAGATATTATCATATATTACTAGTTATCTCTAACTATCATATATTACTAGAATCTTCAAAATACCAACTATTGCTTATTATGTTTGTCAGCAGCCTGGCCACATTATAAGCAGTATGGCCAATTTGCTGACAATTTAATTCATAATACCTACAGTTTGGCTCTGACAGTTGTTGCATAGGTTTCAACTTCTCTCTCTCTCTCTCTCTCTTTCTTTTTTTTTTTTTTTTTTTTTTTTTTTTTTTTTTTTTTTTTTTTTTTTTTTTTTTTTTTAAGCAAGCAAGTTAACAGGAATTACTTATTGGATGGTCTCTGTTTCTTGGGCCTGGCTTTGTAGTCCTGGCAGTATTTATGTGTGATATATCTGATATAGGTTTCTGATCATATGATAATGCATATCTGTCAAGTATAGGCAATTACCTTATTTATCTCTGTATTCAATGATTATGGAATCTTGAAGAGTAAGTGATTGGAAAATATAGTTATTATGCTCAGCGAGATTATTTACTATTACAAATATTAAGGACATTCATTTTTGGATAGTAATAAATATTTGTACCAGCATCTCCTTCCCACTCTTCTGGTTATATATGCTGCTTCTGTACGCATCATTAATATTCTTATCCCTCTTTGTATCTTTACTTTTTTCTGAAAACTAGAGATGTAAGAGAGAGAGGCTTAAATGCAGGATGTCCCAAGTAAAGTGAACCTAAAGCAAATGAATATATGAACAAGGTGATTTTTCAGTCTGGGCGCACATCGCAATACTAGCGTCTGCACACGCATCTTGAGCTCTTGGATTTGTTATGTAAGAATGTCAGCTAAGAGTCTCTGTGAGGATTCATGACTGTGAGTGGTCATGAACTGTGTAAGCTCATGTGAATAAAGTGTTAAATATTTCTACAGTCCATTACTAAATTGTATTGTGTGTGTAACAGTAATATTGTACAAGGTGGGCTGAGAATAAACTATATTGGACATGGGAGATTTGTTTTGCCATATATTTAGTTTTTTTGTAGTGGGGACATCCGATGTTTCCCATAGATTTTCAGCAAGTTCTGTTGCACGTTTCTTATTAATGGTGGGAGTTTAAAGTTCTATACTTTAGAAATCACCATTTTATTTGATTTGCTGTATTTTCTCAGGTCACTGGGCATTTCTGCATGCTGAACTTCTGCAACTTCCCTATATCAGATTCAGTTATATCATTTTCTGAAGGTTATATTTTTTCTGGTGGCACGACAGCAAAGAGTAGACCTTCCCGGGAACCATCTTCCAGGCTTTTTTCATTTGCCAGAGTTTGTGATTTGGCAATTTTAATAATATTAAATTAATTTATGCAGTTTGGCCATCAAAGCCATGGTCTTTTGACTCATTTTCCGTTTTGCTAGTGATTAAAATTTTTAGATGTTAAAGAAGACAAATATGGCCAGCAAATTTAAGGTTAAATATTAATTTTAACTATTTGATTTTTAATGTAATCTTTTATTTTATAATTCATCGCTTATCTCTGTCACCTCTAATTATTGATGTTTATGAAGGTCTTATTTAGCATGCGATATTTTTCTTTAATAATGTAGAGGAAGCTTTATTCTATGCTTGCGAAAGTAGATAGTATTCTTTACAACAGTTTTTAGCATTCTGTCTTTTTCATTTTGGAAAGAACTCTGATCATTAAACAAATTCACAATCTGCTTTGGAATTTTGATGAATAATATTTATATATTTTCGCTTTTGTGTTTTCTTATGTTATATAAGACACAAGTAAAGTTCCAACTCCCAAAGAAAGTTGTCACTTGTGAAAGTGGTCACTTGAAAAAACCTATTGCATTCTAGGTTGCTCTGCCCATTAAGCAAGCTAAAATAATTTGCATTTCCTTGTATAATGAGAATAACTTGAAACGTTGCATCTTGTTTTTATTTACTTTTTTGCCGATGTTCTAGGGATATACTTGTATTTTTAATTTAGAATATCTTATTTTCTAGCTACATAACTTTAGGTCTGGCATTAAGATATGTCTTGGAATCTCTGAAAAAGCCACAAGGAAGTAAAATGTACTACTTTGGTATAACAGCAATGGATCGTTTTAAAACAAGGTTTGTTTCATTTTTATTAATTGTGAGTGCTTTAATTTATTAATTGTGAGTGCTTATTCAAAAGTATCCCGATTTAATATGTTACTGCATGATAACAAACAAGCCCAAATTTTTTATTACTTTAGTAAATTGAAATGTGTGCAGATTCTGTATGAATTATTCTCAACCCTTTTCACTTGCTGACCCCTTTTTAAAGAATGGTTTTCTTCATTGAACCCCGTAATATTTTTCTCCATGATACACAACATATAACATAATTAAATAAACTTTTAGATGACATTTAGCCTAAGAATGTGAATAAAAGTGGGAATAATTTGATTTTTGTATTATTGTTATTATTTTTTAAGAAATGTAAGTTTTCAGAAATAAAATTTGAGATTATAATGGCATAAAATTTCCATTTAATTAACATAATGGCTACATTTGATGTATTGAAGCAATTTTTTAATATTTGGCATAAAATTGCTTAATTTTATTCTTAAATCACTGCATTCAAAACTTTTCAACCTGTTTCTTGTTTTCCTCGTCTTCAATTTATGTCTTGTAATAATGACTCGAATGAACCCTGTTTCCATAGGATAAGAAAAGGGAAAAGTCAATAATAATGGTTCAGTAACAGGATTTGTGGGTATTTCTTTTGGATGAATCTTAAATTCCTTAGCTTACCCATTATCTTGAATCAGAATTTCTATGTTATGGCTTTTATTAACAGTTTGTGATTATATTAATCAATTTTTTCATTATAAGTGTGATCTTAATTCTGACGATGAGTTGTTAGTGTGTATTTGCCAAGACCCATTGATCATCATTAAACTCCCACTTTTAAATTTCATCGACCCTCAGGGGATTAATACCGATCCTATTATGAACCTGTTTTTAAATATAGATGACATGGTATATCTGCTTGAATTTCATGAATGAGATCTGTAAAAACAGATTCGTTTGGATGGAACCGATTCTTGAGGCAAGTAAGAAACATTTCAATATGCATTTTTATTGTTCATGCGAGTTGAATTGTGCATTTGCTCATATAAAAAATCCAGTTAATTTTCAATACAGTCATTTTAAAAATAAATCATCAAGTCTTTCTGAAATCAGCATTACATATGATTTTAAAAATTCCTAAGGCTGCTAGCCTTTTAATACCACTGTTTGTCTTTTAAGCAAGTTTCAAATTTATGTCCATGAAATATAATCACTGTTACTAAATTTTAGTAAAATAAGAAGAGGTGTAAGCCTATCATAATATGTAGTTATGTGCTTTGTTATTCTTTTTATAACCTGTTATTTTGTTTCATATGTTAATATCTACATTGAAGTTTTTATTCTTTGTTTAGGCTGAAAGAATATCCTCAATATTGTCAACATCTTACATCCATAGCAAATTTTCATGAACTTCCACCTCATCTTATTGAGGTAATTTCATTTCTAAATTTTTCTATGTAGTACATTTAAAAAATATTTTCTTTATGCTCATTCTGTTTGATATTTATAATATTTGATATGAAAGAGTGAAAATATTAATATTTTCCTTAAGCTTTAATATTGTGTTAGTGCGGCAGTGATGTTTCATTGCCCCAACATAGTTATTAGTGATTGTACTCTGTTAATGAAAGGCATGTGTATTTTCTAGAAATGTGATAATTAACAAAATTTCTATCTCATTTCATTGTTCTAGTGATTTTATTATTTTGGTGTGCTGTAGAACATTGCAATAAGCAAGAAAGCTAATTTGAAAGAGGTGTGGTTTATTTTACTAAATTCTTTCTACATTTGAATTGTTCTCCGAGGGAAATACTCTGAGGTTTATAATGTTTAACATGAAGCATCATGATATGGTAACTGACATCATTTCTCCTAAACTAAAGCCAGATATTTAAAAAAAATATTAGTACAAAAGGAGGCATAACAAATTTGAGGGGGAAAAAAATGAAGCCACTTTTTGAAAGAATTTGCTTTAGAATAGGTGTTAGATCATGTAAAGAACAAGGAACTTTCTCTCAAAAGAGATTTGAAAAGGAAAGCTCATTATTTCTTACTAATTGACACAGATCATTGTTATCTAAATCACATCAAAGTTGTTCTGAGTGTCCAAGCTCAAAAGAGAGCAAAATAAATAACATATGTCATATTCCCAAAAAACTCCTCTGTGCAAAGCACATTATAATAAAATATCTTTGTAATTGTCTGTAGAAAGTGCAATGTGATCCCTTATTAATAATATTGAATTTTTATTAATGTTTTGTATTCTTTTAAATATAAATGGAATGATGAAAAAAAATCTTAATACTATCTAAAATTGCTGAAATGTAATATTTTTCTTTTTCAAATTTAATAAATTGAATATTATGAAATAATTTTAACTAATAATAATAATAATTTTGTATTTTAAAACTAAATTAAAATATGTTTACCATTTTATAGCTTCGTGTATACTGCTAAAAAAAAAAATGGGACAGTTCTATAGCTCCCATTCTACTGGGCCGATTCACAAAATTCAAATTGCGTTCTTTATGTCTTGAAAGTGCGACTTAGGATATATATTAGATTTCTATATAACACTATTCTAACATTGGTATTTTGACACAAAATTGGACTTTTTCTGAAATAACATAGCATTTTTTTTACATATTTCAATTCTACTACTCAAATTATACCTAGATACTAAATTTTGTAAAATTTGGTACGAAATTGACGGAGAAATTCAACAGTTTATGTTGGCACTTTTTTTTTCAGTTGCACCAAGAATAGTTCACTTGGCAAACTTCTTAGTATATGGCAACTTACTTTCCTTTCCCGTGAGTGGAAAAAAAGTCACAATCATTCCTTTTTTCAAATAATGTTCTTCATATTATATTTTTAATTATAATTGCTATTATTTTAAGTAATTTTTTTCTTTTTCGAAGATTTTAATTGTTAAGTTGCACGCTTTCTTTCGAATAACTATTTCGAAAATTTCTTTTTACCCATTTGAACTGCGTAGTTTAAATAAAAGGTGCATCGTTGTTGTTTTTTTTTTTTTCTTCAAATAGTTTTCTTTATACTATATTTTTAGTCATAGTTACTATTTTAGGTAATTTTTTAATTTTTAGACTTTTATTTTAATTGTTATGTTGCATTGTCTCTTCAGATAATTATTTTAAAATTTTCTATTTATTCATTCGAACTGAGCATTTTAGATATATTTATTAATATAAATTTTCCAGTATTTTATTTTATTTATTTGAATTGCTGTTTTTTCAGAAGAATACTTTGTGTCGCAGATTACGGTGCTTCTGAAATTCTGAAAACTGAATGTATTAAAACAGAAAATACAGTAAAGCACAGTTCATACACCTTTCATTGTTCAGTTCAGAAAAGATATACAGTAAACTCTCGCTACGACGATACCCGATACAACAATAACTCCCTCTACTACAATAATGTTTTGTGGTCCCGGTGATTTTGCATATAAACTAATGTTAATCTCCCCTCAATATTGCTAGATTCTCTAGAACAATAAACCTCTGTAAAACGATTTTTTCAATCTAAATTTCAGTATTATTTTTTCCCTTTATAATAATATTTTGATATTCAATTTTTTTTTTTTTTTTTTTTTCCGTCTATTAAGACTCATTGTGGATATTCAACTTATCCCTGAATAAATAGCTATTGTTCAGATTTCAAAACAGATGAAGACCACCCTTTTGGGAATTGGAGTGGGTGAGGGGGGGTGAAGTGTAAATGTATGCCTAGTCTCATTTCCCAGTAAGCTTTGGAATTCTGATAAGGTTTAAGGACATCTAGACCTGTCTGGTCACCTTGTCACAGAACAAGTGCCCTTTGTTAGAGGAACAGGGGGAGATGGAGGCGGGGTGTTGTTAAGTGACGTACTGAAAAGTGAGTTCAAAGGTTGTTTTATAGTCTTTAACGATTTTGAGTTCTACGCGAAACATTTGGTTTAAACTTTTCTTTCTTTCACGCGATATTGTTCCCTAAGATGGCAGGGCGAAAGCAACTATCTTTTCGAGATAAACTGAACGTTATCAATGATATTGATGAGGGAATGAAGCAGATTGATGCGGCTAAGAAACATGGATTATCGCAATCTACAGTTGCAACGTTCCTAAAGAAGAGAAAGCAAATCGAAGATGCTGTAACTTCAAATGAAATTAACCCAGAGCGAAAACGACTGAAAGTTGCGACAAATGAAAACATTGATGCTGCTGTTTTAAAATGGTTTCAAGAGATGAGAGCAACAAATGTCCCAATAAATGGACCTTTATTATGTGCAAAAGCACGGAAATTTGCAGCAATGCTAGGGAACGAAACTTTCAAAGCTAGCAATGGTTGGTTAATGCGTTTTCGAGATCGTCATGGAATAACTTTCCAAGAAGTTCACGGAGAGAAAAAGTCAGCCCCGATAAACGACGCAAATGAATGGCGGCAAAACAAGATGAAAGAAATCTTAGAAAAGTATGCTCCAGAAGACATTTATAATGCAGATGAAGCTGGGCTGTTTTTCCAACTCCTACCCGATCGAACATTGGCATTCAAGGGTGAAAAGTGTTTATGGAGGGAAGAAATCAAAGCAGAGACTGACTGTTCTTCTGTGTACAAATAGCACAGGAACGCATAGAATACAACCTCTCGTCATTGGTAAATCATTGAAGCCAAGGTGCTTTAAGAACGTGAAAAGTCTTCCCGTGGAGTATAAAGCAAATAAGAAGGCTTGGATGACGTCTAAATTTTTTTCCGAATGGTTACAGAAGTTAGACAATGAAATGAAGAAGAGAAAGAAAAAAATCGTTTTGTTGATAGATAACTGCGGTGCTCACACGTCATTTCCAAAGCTACAAAATATCGAAATCGCTTTTTTCCCTGCCAATTGCACTTCAATTTTACAGCCTCTTGATATGGGCATAATTAAGTGCTTCAAAGGATATTACAGAAAACGGTTGGTGGACTCCATACTTGTAAACTTTGAAAATAAAGTAGAAGACCCTTTCAAAGCTGTAAATGTCAAGGAAGCGTGTGACAATACAATTGCTGGAAGTTGATGGGAAGTAACAGAAAAAAAACATTCGGAATTGCTGGAAAAAGGCCGGTCTTTGTGTTATGGAAGATAAGAAATCTGATAATGATGAAAATTCCATAGACAATGATCTCTCAGATGATCAAGAATGTGTTTTGCACATCAAAAAATCCGTATCCCAACTTGAGGAAACAAGCGGTAAAAAGTTTGGAATTAGTATAAAAGACTATTTAACAGCAGATGATGATCTTATGGTTTTCGCAGGAGTTACTGATGAAGATATTCTCTCTGAAATTACTGATGAGATAGGAAACAATGATAAAGATGATGATGATATTGATAATGATGATAATACAGGTCCATTGCAGTCCTTATTGTCATCCCAGGAAGCTCTTCAATCTGTGAATTCTCTACGGATATTTTTTTCAAGCCTTCCGTCGACAAATGAAGAACATTTTCGTGCACTAGACTCAATGCATACAGTATTGGTGAACTTAACAGTTAAAAAAATCAATAAACAAACAAAAATATTGGATTATTTTCAATAAAAAGTGTTTTCAGGTATGTGAATATTTCTGTGCTTATTTTCTGAATTTATCTTATTTATTTATTTTTTTAGTATTTAAACCACTATTATTAGTATTTTACAAATTAATTTCTTCTAAATATAGACTTAAAAGTAGTATGTTATGCACCTTAAACTAATAATAATTTAAGAAAAAAAAACTCTTATTAAATGCTCAAAATATGTGGGCCCTGGATATAACAATATGCCTCTCTACAACAATATATTTATTTGGTCCCTAAAATATTGTAACGAGGTTTCACTGTATAAATGAGAAAGATGTATAACCGACATTTTAACTTGGGATGACTTGCATACACTGCTTTAAATGGTTTTATCATTGAGCCCATTGCTTTACACAATTTTATCCTACATTTGGTTTCTTAAAATGTTATTCATATTTTAGTCAAATATTTTATTTTTGAAATCGCAAAAATCAAATATCATAAGATTAAAAAGTTTTAAATATTAAAAAAATACAAATACTAAATTTTACGCAATTTTTTTTTTTTTTCCCCTCTTTTTCTTCAGGTATTCTGCTTCATTCTTGCTCTTTTTCTTTAGACATTCTGCAAGTGATATTAAAAAGCATCCAACTTTTCGAAACATCTTGGCAGTTCTGACAATCATTTTAAATAAAGTTATCGCCTTCCATTTCATAAAGGCCCACAAACAGCTGAGCATTAAAGTCGCTGAACGCTGGTAGTTCACTTCTGGGTTCGAATCCCCGTAAACGGGCTGGTTGCATGGTCGTTTTCATGGATTTTCTCATGTGTAACGTGTATGCCAGCTGGTTTCCCTTAGAAAACTCTTCACAAAGGAATCCTTCCTTTTAGGCAGATAGCCCTGCTTTGCCGTAACTTAATAATCCAATTCAATCCATTTCATCAGTATTTGGTCAGAGTCTTTATCAGTCTTTAGAGGCTAAACGTTTTGAAGGTATAAGATGAAAGGAAAGACTGGTTTCATCAAGAGGTTTTGGTTTATTTAATTATGACAAAGCACATTGGGCTATCTGCCTAAGGGGAGGGATGCCTTCGTGGAGGATTTTCTAAGGGAAACTGTCTCGTATACACGTTACACATGGAAAAAAATCACGAAAACGCCCATGCTGCCAGCCCGTTCGCGAGTTTCGAACCTCGGACCGAACTACCAGTGTTCAGCGACTTTACCGCTCGCCCGCTGTTTCATCAGGAGTAAGAAGAAAAAAAAACGTAAAATTCGAGTTTAAATTATCATGAAAAGTCAAAGAAGGATTCATTTTCAGCCGTGTTCCTCAATTTCCTGTACACGTGGCGGAGATGGAAAATCTCGGCCAGGTACATCACAAAGGGGGAAATTCTCGCCAACAGGTTCCGTCGCCAAACCCTTGGTGAATTGTCCCTCTTCTTTCTAGCGGCGTAGAAGACAAACTGGTTTACATTACGTGTATGGAGCCTTTCCTTCTTTACATAGACTTTCTTTGCGCCGAGCCAGCTTTGATTTGTTGGGTATATAATCGGACTTCACAAGACTAGAATCATAGGTCCATCCTATGGTAGGTGCAGGCTTGGCAGGAACCGTACTTGTAGCGTCGTGTCCGTTGCCTTCACTGTGGGTATGCTCTCATGTAGATTTTAAGCGCTGTGTAGGGGGAAGCAAGGCTTCTGTATCATGTTAAGGTCTCACTTGAAGTAGCCAGGTAATGTTGCCCGAATTAGAGTTAATGCAACCACAGTGGTCCAGCTGTCGACTGCTCTTCAGAGAAAAATGCTTCAGTTATGAAACTAGCTATCATTCCACACCAAACGGTGTAGAATGACTGGAGCTATGCGTTATATGTATACCATGCATAAGATTTTTGCTTTTATGGAAAAAATAAAGAATCCAAGCAAATATACCTAGTATAATGGACCAAAACTGAAACAAATTTCCCCTCCCTCTGAAAATAAAATATTGAAACTTCAGCCTTGAATTTATTGGATTATCGAAATATTCAGTTTGAATTATCTTCCAAGTCCTAGTTCTGACAAAAATTCCGAATTACTGAAGCTAAAGTAAAAGGTTTAGTATATATTCACTGTATGTTAATAAAAATAGATTATAGAATTTAGCTGATGCAACTTTTTGTCTGAATGCACAACATGTAATGGAAGAGAAGGTTTGTAGAAATCTGTTTTTGACATTCCTCTAAAAGTAGATGTATTTGGTATGTTTAATTATGGCAAAGCACACTAGGACTGTCTGCCTAAGAGGAGGGATGCCTTCGTGGAGGACTTTCTAAGGGAAACTGGCTCGTATACACGTTACACATGGGGAAAAGCACGAAAACGCCCATGCAGCCAGCCCGTTCGCGGGATTCAAACCTCGGACCGAACTACCAGTGTTCAGCGACTTTACCGCTCGGCCGCTGGTGAGTAGCTAAAAGTAGATGTCATACTCCTTTTGTCTCTTCAATGTCAAAAAACTTTCCTTTGAGAGGCAACTTCAGTTTTTTTTGGGGGGGGGGAACAAGAAGACAAATTTGAAGAACATGCAGGACAATCAAGTACACATACTTATTTTCGGAACACAAGTGGTTCTCTGATTGGTTATTGAATTATGAAAAGATGCATTGTCATGCAATACAAAACATTTGGAATACGTTTTCTGACTGAATAACGTAAGATTAAAAGTCGTGCTTAATTCACAACCATTTACAAGTTAACTACTCGGGCAATTGCAGAATCGTTTTGATCCTGAGCTTGTAATACAAACCTAGTATCACTGGATTTAAACACTTCTTTAATCTTCCGAGAACGTTCCTTCTTTAGCTCGTATTCCAAGAATATTAAGTGAATACAATTATTGCCAAAGAAATTGAATATTCATTTGCACTACGGCTTGGTAGTTTACTAACGAGTTAACAAAACTTAAATTCTGCTTTTCGTGTTCAAGAATACAACAATATTTCAAATATTTACAAATAAAATATTTAATTGAAGCCTCATCAGTTGCCTAGCCAGTTCGTAGTTTTCTAGGTTCTCTTTACAAAGGTTCTATATAAAAACATCTTAACCAAATAGCTCCCATGTTCTTTCTATGTTCAAATAACCAACTAACCTAGTTTAAACACGATTTCCAAGTAAAGTTACTAGCAAAACCCGAATACTCATTTAAAATCATGTAGCTTGCCAATCGGGAGTAACATGAAAGATACGGTGTCAATAATTGAATTGCTGTTACGATACGCTGTTTCTAAACTTAGATGGTCATTCCTTAATTAAATATAATTGATTTGTAACTTCTACTAGAGCTGACAGTAAGAATTGAAGTGTAAATAAATAATATCATGTGCAGCCTTGATTAATATAAATTTAGAAATGTTTGCATTCAGACAAAGTTTTTTGAAATATTTGCAATTACTTTATAAGAAGGATTGATTAATAACCGTAGTAATTAATTATTATATTACCGATGATTAGAATTCAGTTCTTGAGAGTTACATTCTAAATTAGAATTTTAATTATGTAATGAAAATACGCTACGCATAAAAATACATTTTAGGATAAAAAATGAGTTGATTTTTTATGTTTAAAAACTTCTTAACTTCATTTAATAAAATCGTACCCTCGTTGTTAATTTAATCCAGAATGTTGAGTGTTGTTTATATAATTATTTTTACTTTTCCACTGAACCTGCTGACTTATCCAACCATTAAGGAGCTGCAGATCATTTCTACATAACCACTGAACTTCCATTAATTCGGTCTCTAGAGGGTTATATGTTTATATCATAATTTGACTTTTATAAAAATGATTATTCTAAAACTTATGTTTCTATAAAAATATACTGTGCTTTTAAAATTAATGGATGGTAGTATCAGCCGCTCTTTCAGCCACTTCATAAGCAACAGCTTGTTTAGAAATAAATTATGCAGTTAATGTCACAAAATATTTTCATAAAATTCAAATAAACATGAAATGAAAGTTCTCAGTTTTAGACAATTCGATTTAAACGAAATTAAAGTAAAGTAGCAGGCGATAAAACGTCGAAGATTAAAATTTACTCTTACAAATATTTTTTTTAAAAAAAAAGGAATAAAAAAATTTAAAAAAATAGTAAAAAATTTGAATAATATTATCTATAATTTTTAAAAAATAGCTTTTCATGTAGTATTAATAAATATTTATTACGCGTCATTGAGCGAAAGAATTTCATATACTTAATTCTCCGCAAAATTTATTTGAAATTTAAAGTTAAAAATAGCTGTGGCAATTCACTGTAACAAAAATCCATAAACCACATTTGGCGTCATTATCGCTCAAAAAAAAGATGCTAAGTTTCAAAACGCGAAAATATGTAAATTCGTGTATATCTTGGAAAATTTTGAATAAAAAAGTCTAATTTTTTGCAGGTATGCTTAGAAATACACCTACTTTAAGATGATGGTAAAAATTTTATAGGTTATAATTAAATTTTTTTTTCGAAAAAATTTATAAAAATTATTTAAAAATAGAAATTAAAAAAAATAAAACACAAAAAATGTGTAAATTTTATTTGGAATGAACCGAAATTTCGAAATGTGAAAGGAAAAATCAAAAAAGTTTAATAAAAAAAGAGATATTAATAAATATTTGTCAAATTCAATTAACATTGAAGAGCTAGAATTTTAAAAGCTAATACTTTAAAACTACTTGTATGATTTTTACAGAACTTGGCATTCTGGCATAATTTGAGTCGTAGAATCGAAATATGGAAAAAAATTGGTATATTATTTCAGAAAAATACCGATTTTGTGTCAAAATACCTATGTTAGAATAGTGTTATATAGAAATCTAATATATATCCTAAGTTGCGCTTTCGAGATTTTCATTGTCATTTGTATATACATATATATAATACATTTTTATTGATTTTTTTTGTTAAAGTTGTTCTGCAGAGTAAAATTCTGCACGGAATTTTGTTTTTTTAGTTACTTTCATGTTATTTTTTGCTTATTTATTTCACTGTTTGTAAGATATTGAAAAGTTTTGCATGATTTTTTTCCTTCAACGGAAAGTTGGTTAATTTTTTTTATTAAGATAATTAATATTTGTATTAAGGGATATAGCTTATTTCATTGTAATTTTTTTCTTTTGAAAATGTAAGATAAAATATCATTAATTATACTTTGCTTTTCAGTATTTTTTTAACTTCTTTTATGTTATTTATTGCTCATTTCACTGTTTTTAAGATATTGAAAAGTTTTGAGTGATTTTTTTAGGAAACAAAGTTCTTAACCTCCTTTTATACCATTTGAGTTCGTAATATTTTGCAAAGAGAAGTTGGTTAATTTATTTATTAGGATAATTAATATTTGCATTAAGGGATATTGCTTATTTCATTGTAATTTTGTTATACGTAATAACTTTTTTATAAAGTTGTTCTGCAGAGTAAAATTCTACACAGTTTTTAAATTTAACGTTTGGTTGTTCCCTTCAGCCATTTTTCCGGTACATTTAAAAGCCAGACGAAGGCTGGCAGCGAAGCTGCTAGTGTTTTATATAAATTTAATTTGGCTTTGCAAGAAAATTTTTTAACTTAGTACTTTTATAGTATATAGAATATGGTGCTAGATCTCAGGAGCCTCCAAATCGTCTTCAAGGCCCAATTATACAAAGTGTTGCTTCAGCTTTTCCTTCCTTAACCCAGACTCCAAGTTTACCACTCACATCTGCAACCACTGTAACAGTTACAGTTACAACTGTTTCAACTAAGACTACAGTGACAGGAAAGGTATAATTTATTTCTTTAAGATAAATGTTTCTGTATTTGAATTTGGTGTAAAGTTTTTCCTCAAATGAATATGAATTTATTGTGTTTTGGCTGACACCCCATTCCCCCAAAAAATCCATATGTATTGTGGGAAAATTTTTTTTTTTTTTTTGGTATGTGTGTGTGTGTGTGTATTAAGACTAAATTGTTTTAATTTCTAAAAAAAACTGTTAAAAGAATTGAATGAACTTATTTGGTTATATATACCAACATAATAAGTTAAACTTAAAAATTCTTTATAAAACATTTAAAATTGAAATAGTAAGGTATCAGGAAAAAGTAAATGCATCTGGACTGTATTTTTATTTAAAAATGCCAAAAGAGTAGTACTTACTGTGAGTGATGTGCTCTTAAAGATTTTTCTTTTTCGCTGAATAAGCAATTGCACCCCTTCCCAATTTTTTTTATAATATGCTGCTTTTTTTTTTTTTTTTTTTTTTTTTTTTTTTTTAAGTCATGTAGATGCATATTCCCTATGTATAAACGCAAGATTTACAAGTTGATGGCTTGAAAACCAAACAATGTTGGTGAATAGAGTTAACATGTTGATGTCGGCATGACCCACCAGTGGGTCATGCGTGGCTCAGTGGGACGGCATGACTTACTGATTGGTCATGGTTGTATATAAAAAGATACAATTATTATATTATAAAATATGCAATTTTATAATTTTTATTTCAAAGGGGCAATTTGCCCTCAAAGACTATTAATCTCGTTTTGGTATTTTGCGTTGAAAACTATTAAACGAAAAATCACTTTTCAAATTGTTGTCACCAAAATATTAGAGCTCTGTATTATATTTAAAGAAATTAAATAATAAAGAATCTGCATGAATGTATGTGATGCATTGTGATGAAACAAGGGTACTTAAAGCAATCATAATTCGAATAACATAATCTTCCATAGAATATGGACGCATGGAAGCCCTAATTTGAATTTGAAATTTGATTTACAGTAAAAAGTCTTTAATCCGGACCTCAAAGCTACAACCTTTCTGCGCATGCACATATGTGTTTACGCATGATTGCAATGAACTGGAAGTTGATCTGTCAGCACTATCCTTATCTTCAGGGCAGATGTTTTTATTTTATTCAGCTTATAATTCCTTCCTAAATGTAGTATTTCATCTCGATATACACTGTCGTTGATATGATTTAAATCAAATTCCTCGTCATTATAAATATCACGAATACACATCAAATAGTTTTCTGATTGCAATTTTCTAATTTCGACTATGCGTAATGTATGCTTTATGCATCTGCGCATTGAAAGAAATGTTTAATGAAGTAAACAAATAAATATTAAGCTTTTTTTTTTTTGTAAATTTTGATACCCTTTAGATCATAATTGCTCTTTATCATAAATTACGGTTTCATATTTTTAATTTTAAAATTTCTGGATGCCATCTTACCAGATTTAAATTGATGCTCTGTAATCCGGGAAACCGATAATCCGGAATCTCCGAAGTCCGGATTAAAGACTTTTGACTGTATTATCAATTTCATATTTTGTAACTCTTCAACAAATTTTTTATTAACAAACTCGATGATTTCAGAGTGAGCAATGGCAACACAGTACGGAAAAAAGAAAAATTATCTCCAGTGCATGAGACTGTGTATCGGAAATTCTAAAGATACGCTCATTTTTAAAATTATTTTGCGACATTGCTGTTGAACTGGATTTTATGGTTTGAGTGCGTAGAACATGATATTTAATAAATAATGGTAAGACACAAAATATTAAAAAATGCCCCTTTGGATGTAATCTAAAATCAGAAACATTTAAGTTTTTTTTTTTACTTTTATTATTTGGTGCTGCACGCAATGGATCGCTAATTCAAGCACCGCTTCACGAAAAGAACAATGGACAATTAATGTAGTCATCAACACACTGCCGTCAGTGTGATAAAGTGGTCATTAAATTAGATTGAGCATATTGTATTTCCTGATAAGCGGCTTCTTAATTTGTCTGTCTGAATTGTAGTTAGAGAATATTTTGAATAGTAAGATCCTATACTTTTGGCAACTTTATGTAACAATCCCAGTTCTGGATTTCTTCCACTAAGTAACCTCAATTATTATACAGATTTCAAAAGTTCAAGCGATTAGCTTTTTTTTTTTTTTTTTTTTAAGTTTTTAACAGATACCAATTGTTTAAATCTAAAATTTGCATCTTTATATGTTTTTGTAGTTTGTTATAAATAGAACTGACTATTTAAAAGTTTTTGGGTATTACCGTATTCCTTACTTCCAGCAGTTACTTCAAAATATGAGGTGAGGCAGTTGTATAATAATACTGCACACCTCCTATTGCATAGTCGCATAGGGAAAGTTTGTATTGAAATGCAATTGACCTTGTGCCTTGGAGGGTCCACCTTTTGTTTTGTCTTTCTGTCTGCTTTAATTTGCGTTTGAGCCGTGGGTTTTTAAGCTGTTGTTCCGTAGTAGTGCCATGATCATGATGAAATTTAAAAAGTCGTCAATGGAATATTTTCATGTGGTAAAGGATGTGTTTAGCGATAATGCTGTGTCAAATGCACAAGTTTTTGAATGGCTCAAACAGTTTTCGGAAGATTCGGAAGAGGTTGAAGATGATGAATGTTCCAGCCAATCTGCAAGTTTCAGAACTGAAGCAAATATTCAGAAAATTTATGGAAGATTTACGTGTGGGCATTAAGATGATTGTAGACATGGTAAATATAAAAAAGAGACAGGAAGACAAATTTCGCATGCTGAATTATAAATATCACAAAAGTTTGCGCAAAAATGTTTCCGAAAAACCTCTGTTAGGAACACAGAGGCAAATGAAAGAACATTTGCTCTGATGTCATGGAATGACTCAACGAAGAACTGGATTTGCTCACATGTATCATCACATGTGATGCATAAACATGGATCTTCCAGTGAGACCCAGAAACAAAGCATCAGTCAGTGCACTGAAAAACTACATTGCCAAGAATGAAAAAAGCACGATTGACCCAAGTCAAAAACTGAAGGCAATGCTAATATTTCCCCCCCCCTGTATGAGGGGTATTATGACTGAATGTATGCTTTGAGGGTAAAACTGTTAATTAGAAATACTACAGAGAAGTCCTAATCAATTTGATAGAGAGTAAGGAAGAAAAAGACCAGATTTGTGAAAGAATGATGCATGGATTCTACATCAGGACAACATGCCAGCCCACAATGTCTTATCTGTGAAAGAGTTTTTGGCAGATAGGTGCATTCCTATGCTCAAACATCCTCCATATTCACCAGATCCGGCTCCTTGTCACTTTTATCTTTCTCAGAAGTGAAAAGTGTGTTGAAAGGTACATATTTTTAGTCTGTTGAAGAGATGAAAAGCAAAAACAAGATCATACAAATTTGATATGCTAAATAGCAGCTATTAGCGCTATTTATCTCTTGCCTAATGTACCCACTTTATATTATATATAATATATATATAATATATAGTTATTGAAGAGGGTGACAATGGATGACCTACAGCATTGCTTTGAACAATGGAAGGCATATATGCACTGGTGTGTAGATAGGGGGGAATATGTTGAAGGGTGTAAAAGTTAATTCTATTTTTTTTTTTTTTTTTTTTTTTTTTTCTATTCTGAAAGAAGGACGAATGAAGAGGAGAGAATAGCCAAGGACATGCGGTCATAGCGCCCTCTGGCCCATGAAACAAATGCGAAGTTAATATCTAGTGTATATCACACACACGTGCACCCTCTGGAAGGTTAAGTGAACCTTTTACTGCAAAAGTAATTTTAGGTACATTTTTCTTAGGTGGTTACTGGTTTTACCAGCAATGGTTTTTTTCCCCCCTGGTGAATCTGGTTCCTATTTTTAATGTAAATACTTTCAAGTTTGATATTAAATGAATTTGTTTGCATTTATACTTAATGGCTAATCCGCGTTATATATTTTTTCAGCCTTCCATCGCAAATGCTACAAACATAGATACACTTTTGGTGGCTACAGAAAAGGATGAAAAACTTGTTGTACCTCCAGAGTCTGTGCAAGATAAAGTAGCATTCATTGTAAATAATTTATCTCAGGCAAACTTGGTCCAAAAGGTAAGCATCAGGCTGTCTTTCCTTTGTGTGATAAATGGCATATGTAGTGATTTGTAATTCTAGCCAAGACATTGATTTGTACTTATTATTAAACTGAAGATAATATATATATTCATTTTATTTTTGATGTAGACTGATGAATTTAGAGAAATTGTAAAAGAAGAATATTGGCCTTGGGCTTCACAATACCTAGTCATGAAGAGAGCTTCAATAGAACCGAACTTCCACTCTTTATATTCAAATTTTTTAGATACACTAAAGTTGTGTGATCTTACAAAATTGGTAATAAGAGAAACTTTTCGCAACATTAAGGTAAGCTTAGAGTTAGCTAAATGTTGTCATCAGAAATTCATCTTATTATACTTTTAATTTAAATATTTTGCATTTTGTTTTGATTAAATTTGATTTCTTCATTCTCATTTTGATGAAATTTTAATTTTTTCTAGGTGTTACTCCGAAGTGATAAGGGAATTGCAAATTTTTCTGACCGATCTCTGCTTAAGAATTTAGGGCATTGGTTGGGAATGCTGACACTTGCTAAATGCAAGCCAATTTTGCAAATAGTAATTTTTATTTTCACTTGTTTTTTATATATTAATGTATTTAACTGAAATAAGTGTATAGTGCTTGATTATACAATTTTTATACCTTTATTTAGGATATTGATGTCAAGTCGCTTTTGATTGAAGCATACCATAATGGCCAGCAAGAACTGTTATATGTCGTTCCATTTGTTGCTAAAGTTTTAGAATCTTGTGCAAAAAGTAAAGTATGTATACAAATTCCTATAAAGTACATATATAAATTGCAATATTTTATCTTATAAAAATTTTAAAAATTATCATGTCATGTTTATCAATTTTGCTCTTCATGATGTAATTTTTTTAATATTGCTTATGTGTGTGCTAAAACATAAATTTTTTTTTCAAAAAGTAGTGCTTTTGATTCTTGATTTTTTTAGGTATTCAAACCTCCCAATCCTTGGACTATGGGAATAATGAATGTATTAGGTGAATTACATCAAGAGCAAGATTTGAAATTGAATCTGAAATTTGAAATAGAAGTTCTGTGTAAAACCTTAAGTATTGACATAAATGTGAGTCCAATTCCCATATGCACTATATATTAAAAATTTAAGTATTTAAAAATGTTGACATTTTTTTAATGCTGGATGTACTTAATGTTTATATTTATTCATACAGAATTGATTGTTGGACAGTCAGTTATAAGTATATATTAGACTTCCATTAATTTTATATCATATAGATTATTTTATATCTATATGTGTCTACGTGTTAATTTTCTGTACTTAACACATTCTTGGTGTGGTATTGTATATTATAACAAATACTTAAAACTGGAAAATTTCACTCGCTATATTTCTCTTCTGTCATATAGATTAATGTCTGAATGTTAATTTTCTGTTCATGTCTCTGTATGTTAATTTTCTGTACTTATTACATTATTGGTATGGTATTGTATATAATAACAAATACAGAAAACTGGAAGATTTCATTCATTATGCTTATCTTTTGTTACTAACCCGAAGTTACTCGCGCCGGGCTTCCAAAGCCCAATCAGTTTGTTAAAGCTATGTAAACCCTATACCTTAATACTGAAATGGACCACACCCGGTCTAGCTGAGTGTAAGGTGACCTTTGACACAAAAGACGGAATTCCGGAATTTTGTTTTATTCTGTTTGGACAAAAAGCCATTTTTCGGGTCGCTTAGGCCCAGCACGAGTAAACATGTTTCTAATTTCGAGTTTGAAGTGCACTGAGTTCGTAGCACAACATGGCTTGCAGATTAACGTACGATGAAGAAATGGAACGATTACATACTTTGTAGATGAAATATCGACTGATGGGACGAATGTATTGAAGGTGATGATTTATTGTCTGATTGCAATGAAAGATTTAGTGAGCATAATACATCGTCTGAAGAAGAAATAGAGTCTGATGAAAAGGACGCTACTGATTCTAATTCAGTTGAATGTGTTATTGGAAAAGATGGAAAGATAATTTGGAAAAAAACAAAATTTCATCAAAGTGTTCGAACTTTATTGCAAAATATTATTCCGAAGTTGCCTGGAAATGTTGGAGTGGCAAAAAACGTAACTTATCCTCATGAGTCTTGAAGTTTATTACTGGATGAAAATATCTTGAATATAATTGTCACCTGTACAAATATATATATTGACACTATCAGTGACAGCTTTCAGAAAGAATGTGATGCAAAAAAAAACTTTCTGAAATTAAAAGCCTTTATTGGATTACTATATTTATGTGGTATACATAAATAATCCCATGTGTATGTGAGAGATTTATGGCGCACTGATGGAATGTGAATAGAAATATTTCATAGGACCATGTCTCATAATCTTTTTTTGTTTTTTATAAGATGCATGAGATTTGACGATGTTAGAAACATGCAATTGGAATAAACTTGCCCCAATAAGGTATGTGTGGCTCATTCGTGCATAATTGTCAGGAGTTTTACACAGCTGGATCATATGTTACAATTGACGATAAACTCAAACTATTTAGAGGATGCTGTTCATTTCGACAGTACATGCCAAAAAAGCCAGTTAGGTACAGAATAAAAATTTTCGCTCTTGTTGATGCAAGAACTTTCTTTACATCAGCCCCAAGGCCCGTATCGTGTAAATAATTCATCAGTTGAAGTCGTCAAAAGGTTAATATAAAAGTAAAATTCTGGGAGAAATGTAACAGTCGACAGTATGGGAGAAATGTAAGAGTAAAATATAAATTAAAAGACGGGCCTCGTAGGCCTGATGCGAGTACTTGCGTACGTACAATAAGTTCGAGTAACACCGGATTAAAAGAAGTGTTATACCAAATGCTAATATATCTTTGATTGAAGCTATAAGAGAAACAATATTCTTACTTAAGTAATTTAGATTTGATCTGAGAAATAAAGAATAACTTTACTACCTTGAGCATTATTTGTTAAGCAAGAAAGTGTTACTGTACTACAGACTTTTGTTTTCTGTGAAAAAAAAAATTCAGTGTTACATCAATAGTTAAGGAAGTATATAACTTTAACTAATAAATAAAAATAATATATACCAATGTAGTGCTTTATTCCCCAGAGTAATGAATTTATTGAAATGTTATTTTGTAACCAAGACTACATTTTCACAGTTGGAACGCTCAACCTCTTCAACACCAAGAAGATACAGTGAGTTAAGCAATGTGAAAATACTGTTGACAATTTTCTTTAACTACCAAAGCAGAGCTCATCATGAATATTTTCCAAATGCCAGACATTAACTAAGTAGTACGATAGTTAAATGTTGCAGAATTTAAGCAGTGCTGTTTTTTAGAAAAAACTAGGAATGCAAGGTGAAGAGTGTCTATTCTATAATGAGTGAGTGAGTTTTTTGGCACAAAAACCAATGATGATTATGATGTGCCAAACAAAAGGTGGGATCTATTCTACAATGACAATACCATTTAGTTTCAAGTATGTCTATACAAAAAGTAGCAGCAACACTTATATATCACAATATTAAGCAAAATCCCCAGGCATTCTCAATTTAAATTGGGATGAGGCTCAGAAAATGTCATACTGCAACTGCAAGATGCATAAAAAGCCTTGACGAGTGCCAAACCCTCTCGTCCTCTTCATCATGATTAATTCATACGCTTTATACGAGTAGATTACATAAAGATCTGAAAACTAAATAACAGCAACAAAATGTCAAGCAAAATGCAAGGCCTTGAAGGCAAACTGCAATTTTTTTTTTTTTTTTTCTTCTTCTATTTTTTGGATCTGTTAATCATGTATGAAAAATGGTCGTGCAATCTAGAAAGACTATCAAGACATACAATTTATGTTCAAATTAGCTCTTGAAATACTGGACAAATTAAAACATTCAGAAAATCGCTATATTCTGCGACACAGTGTGCACAAACCTGTTTCCAAATGCAGGTCAAATAAAGCCACTGATATTCCTTCACATACAACTCTTAAGACTCTGACAATGCACATACAGTGGTGGCCAAAATTTTAGACACTTTTGGAAGTTTTTATGTTTTTGAACTTTGTATGCTTATAGAAAACATTACGTTTCACAAAATGCAAACTTGTATATATCATTTTAAAGAGAATTTATTACTGAATTCAATACAAAACACAAAATTCAATTATTTGCAATACAAAAAAAAGTTAAACGATAATAGTTATCGATATACATTAGATAGTGATGATTGCAGCGAGTTATCAGTACTTAGTAGGATACCCTTTTTTTTTTTTTTTTTATTACAGCTTCACGTCGACGTTTCATTGAGCAGACAAGAGTTTTAAGCTCTTCTTTCGTTATTACATGATGCCAGGAAACAATTATAGCCTCAATTAGTTCTCATTTATTTGATGGGCGCCTCATTCGGACAAGAATTTTCAAACGGTGCCACAAATTTTCCATAGGATTGAGGTCAGGACTGTTTCCTGGCCATGACAACAATTTAATGCTCTTTGCACGAAACCACTCTTTCGATATTTTGGTCATGTGGCAAGGAGCAGAATCCTGCTGAAAAATAAACGAAGCATTCTTGGGAAAGAGATCTCTGTTGGAAGGTAGAAGTTTTGGTTCTAGAATAGTGTCAATGTATTTTCCTGCATTCAGTGTCCCATCGATGACATGAAGGTGACCAATACCATCTGCTGACATGCATGACCAAATCATAACACTAACTGGGTTCTTCACAGTTGCTTGAATGCAGTCAGGATGTAACTCTTCTCCTATTCTACGTCTTACATATTTTCGCCCATCACTACCGAATAGCGATATCTTAGTTTCATCACTCCATATAACTTGTGACTACTGATCATCTGTCCAATTAATGTGTTCCTTTGCCCACTGTAGTCTTTTTTTTTTTTTTCATTGCTGAAAATTAAGATAAGGCTTCTTTCGTGGAATTCTACCTCTCAGTCCAACATCTGTTAATCTTCTCCTGATTGTTCTTGAACTGACAGAAACACCAGCATCATTCAGATCACTCTTGATGGCTGCTGATGACATTTTCTGTCTTGGAGATTAGTCTTTTTATTCTTCTGTCACCAATAGATGTGGTGCACCTTTTTCGCTGCTTTTCCTTCTTGTTTTTTATTGAATTTGTCTACTGATATCGTAACAAAACTTTCGGACTCCAGATGTAGTCACTGAACCACCCACCTGTCTTGCAATTTCAGCATAGGAAAGACCACTTTGTCGTAACACAATAATATTACATCTCTTTCTAGGTGTCCAATCTACTCTTTTATTTGATGTCATTGCTTCTTGACTAAATATTAAAAATTTTTACAAAAATGTAATTGCAGTGTATAAGAAACAGGTCCTCCTTCTACAGAACAAAGCAAAATAATGAATTGTTTCAAGTGTAAACATGATGTCAGCTTCTACTGGCAGTTACTAACATTTGGTTGGTTCCCAGAACAAGAACAGTGATTATCCAGGAAAGCTAGACATTACAGACCACTTCATAACTGTGTTTTTTATTTCTATTAAAGTACATATAACTTTTTTGTATTGCAAATAATTGAATTTTGTGTTTTGTATTAAATTCAGTAATAAATTCTCTTTAAAATGATATATACAAGTTTGCATTTTGCGAAACGTAACATTTTGTATAAGCATACAAAGTTCGAAAACATAAAAATTTGCAAAAGTGTCCACAATTTTGGCCACCACTGTACATCAGTAATATTACAGACTTATCCATGAATCAATCCCACCCCAAAGAAAAACAAAAATCTATGATTAAACCTTATTCTTCACACAACAGACTTGGCCAGTGCCAAGTTAACATTAATCATGAAGGATAAACTGAATTTCCAATTAATAATTAATTAAGTGGACTTTCTAGAAAAACAGCAACTTAGGGCATATTCTAATATGACAGATATCGAGTATACAGATGATGACTGATACATTAACAAAATTAAATTCGTAAATGTTACGCCCAAAACATACATCAAACAGATATATGTTTTGTATGAAGAATTTGCAAAATATTCATATGCATTTGAAAAATATTTATGATGAGCTGTGCTTTGGTAGTTAAAGAAAACTCTCAACAGTATTTTCACATTGCTTCAACTCATTGCTATCTTCTTGGGTGTTGAAGAGATTGAGCCTTCCAACTGTGAAAATATAGTCTTGGTTTCAGGCTCATAATCATACATGTGACAGATCACTTATCATAACCATTTTCAAAATGTTATAATACTTCTCAACAAGGTCAAAAAGATCTTGCATAGCTAAAACTTTTTTTAAAGGATCAAAACTAGTTTTGGAATAAAATTTCTTAACATGAATCTTATACCTAAATCATCAGTAAAAATTAACTAAATTGTCCTCCAAGTAATATTAAACTTTTCAAATGTTTGATAATGTGATTTTCTTATCTATCTGAACATCTGTGATTTTTTCCTCAGTTTTGCTGGATGTGCTCCTCTCAGGATATTTGCCACTTTCTGTGGTTTCTAGGCCATTGGCCATCTTGGAAATATTTCAGCCATTCATAAATTCTTCTCTGTCGTAGACCCTCTCTCCATGCAGTTATTGTCAGGTTTGTGGCAAAAGGTGATCTAAAGTTTGTGCTCAGCTCTTTTGCCGTGATGAATACAATGATAAGAAAGTCATAGCTTCATTCAAATTGTATCTGTAAGCAAGCAAAATGACTTGGGATACAGTAACTTATGGTGCATGTATAAAACTCATCCAAAGTTAATCTGTAGTATTAGATGTGCTCAGAATCCCACTGCTGCTGCTTTTTACTTCCTTGTTCGAGTTAAAGGAAGTATTGTAACTGCAAAAAAATTCAGATATCATGTTTCAATGGAAATATTCCTTTTGACTGCTCTCAAATCCATTTAATTTTTTTGTGTAGGGGGGGGGCATTTCTATGTACATATGGAACAAAGAGTTTTTTTCCACTAAAATGGATTTTAAATTGGTTTCGAAAGGGATTTTTTCGTGACACCAGTATGCATATACAAGTGTATGTATCTCACATAACTTAAAAACGATTAGTCTTAGAATGTTGACGTTTTTGTGTACGAGACTGCTGTAACATCTAGTTATGTACCTCCCTTTTTTCATTGCAATCAGCAGTACAAAATGTATATATATATTTACCACTCCCTTATCCAGCTTTTTACTTAACCTTTATTGTTACAATTGTTGGTCATAGTCATTTAATTCCAGTTGCATAAGTGTTTTAAATGTTGAAAACATTCATGTTTTGGTGATGTCAAGTTTTTTTTTTTTTTTTTTTTTTTTTTTTTTTTTTTTTTAATAATATTTGACAAATAGCGAATAACATTTAACATGCCCTCCTGATTCTAATACTTGTATTTTGGAAAGTTGTATACTCATTATGAAGTAATAAAATTCTTAGAAGTTTGATTTCCAAGTGACAAAAATTGGCCAGGATATTTAATTTCAAAATTTGTGCTTTTTATGCCATTTCCAGCAAGCCTTGAGAGTAATTAAAGGAAGTAAGTTTAAATGAAGTACAGCAAAAATTGTGTATAATTTAATAGGCCTTAAAAGGAAGTTGTATTCACGTCGTTTTTTTTTTTTTTTTTTAAATGTCATTTTGTATAAGGTGTCGAGGATTCCATTCTGATGTGTATCTTCTTTAAATATTTTGCTCTTTTATTTTCTTTAATGATCTAGAAATCTTTAATTCATTCATTCTAGAAAATTGCAGGTTATGAAAATAAAAGAGTAAAATTAGTAATTGCATAAATCTGCCTCCATGAACATCATGTAAATAAAGCACAAATGTATCCAAAGCCTGTTCTTTCAGAGTCTTTTAAGATGTACAAAGTACTTCTGTCTTATCTGGTCTTTCCGAAAGTGAATTATCAATGATTAAAATAGCATTTTGGAGAAACTATTTTCCTTAAATGCAATGAAAAGCTATTTAAAATTGCTATATTGTTGGATTTAAAAGTTTTTTTTTTAGCTAATACTTTTAGTAAATAATTTCATGAGAGTTTAAATTAAATTGAGTTCTATAATTTTGGTAATCATTATTTTCAGTTGTATATTCATGACTGCACTTTTGATATACTGTATCCAGAATTATTATCAATAATTTTTTAGATGTTTCAAATATAAATTAGCGCAAGTCTGAAATTATTATGAAATGCAAATCATTTTCAGGATCTGAAACCAGGGAATATTCTTAAAGACCAGGAGCGTTTGCTTAAAATTGAGCCACAACTTTCACCTTTACCTAAGCATAAAGAACAGCAAGTAATAAGCTCTGTAAACATGCAAGTACCGGCTCAGCCTGCATTAGGAAATGTAGTACCCTCTACTCCTAATCCTATGCCAAATAATGTATTGCATGAAGAAACTATTCAGAATGTTCCAATCAGCAGTAGCCCTCCTATTGTTTCTCTGACTTCAACTCAACTGCCACCAATTTCGACTTCAATGCCACAACCTCAATTTTCCTATAGTGACATTAATGTTTTGTCTGTTGGTCAATTAAATCAGCATCTGCTTATCAACTCACAAGTAAGTTTCATATGTCATTTAACTGTTTACCCGACATAGTTTGCAGAAAAGAAATTGATTTTACCTATTGTATATTCATTTATTTGAATTGTCAACATTTCTTAATCTGTGCTTCACTAACCAAACGTAGTCCCTGAACCTACCCTTACAGTCGTCCTAGAATAAATAAAAAAAAAAAAAAAAAAAAAAATTCTGTAATTTTTCAGATTTTATATCATGCCCAAAGGGGAATTTTTTTAAGGTTTTATGTGTTACCTTTATTAAATATCATGCTCTTCGCACTTAAATTATAAAAATTCAATTCAACAGCAATATCACAAGATATTTAAAAGAGCAATTCTTTAGAATTTCCGATGCACAGTATTGCGCGTCAGAGTTTTTTTTTTTCCCAGTGTTGCCATTTACTTAAGCCTTTGATTTTCACTTCAAAATCTCGGCTTCAAATGACTACAAAAAGAGAAAACGTTTAAGTCCTAATTCCACGAATTCATTCAAGTTATAGAGGCTCTACAGTAGCATTCTTTTAGGATCCACCCTCTTTGCTGGAATATTTACTCTGAGGCATTTAAGCCACACATATTTTTCCCTTTATCACTTGTCAGTGCAGTTTATCATTGTTTGAAAGGCTGGGACAAATGTTTGCATAAGTGGCCTCAAAAGATAAGAGCATTTCACGTGTACCTTTTAGTAGGGTTCATACGTCCTTAAAAGTCCTTAATTTCGGCCAAAATCGGCAGAAGGTCCTTAATTTTAATTATCTGAAATTTCTGCCATTTTGAGTGTAAATTAGCATTTTGGAGGAACATTTTTTGCAATTCGCTGAAAAATATGTTATCTTTTGAATGGGTGAATGCGTTCATGGGTTATAATTTGTTCCTAATATAAATAGTGGGATAGTCTCTGAGCAAGAAGAGCAATACAAGCATTTCGAAATTATTTCATTTTTTGTAGTGAAGAGCTTTTAAACATTTTTTCGCTTTTGGGGATGTGAATTCTTTTATTAAATTGTTCTAAATTTGGTGGCTTATCAACATTTTGGCAATTTTTAAGATCAATTTCTATAGAAAATTTTTTAATTCCGAGATCTGGGAATTTTTCGATGATTTTTTTAGAACATTGTAACATTTATAAATTTCATTAAGATAATGATAATATGTTGTAATTACATTAAAATAAAGCATTTTTATTCTTTGCTGTTAAATTATAAAGTTCCATTTTGACCACTTATTATACAATATTTTTAATCTGTAAAATAAGGAAGGTATAATGCTATAAAGTACAATTTACAAAACGGTTCTTAGCAAAGGCAAAATAGCTATGTAATTAATTAAAAATGTCTTTTTAATTTTTCATGGTAAGAGTTTTCACATGTAATTGTCTGAGAACATACATCAGTTTTCTCTATAGTATTAATTTTACACTTTTTCGTCTGATTTTTCCCCCCCTCCCCCAAAAAAATATATTTGGCTTTTTGTTGTTACCAAATTGGTAGGGGTAATTTTTCTTTAGTATTTTAGACATTGCAGCTTGGAAAGTTTAGAAAGATTTGAAAGCAAGATTAATAGACCCACGATTCTAGATGATTCGAGAAATATGTGACCAAATGAAAAATGTTTCCATGGTATCAACATGTAATGGATGCATTTTGCAGAAAGTTTGCGATGAATTTCTTACTATTTGGAGAATGTCTGAAGAACAAGGGAAACATAATATTTGAATGTTTTACTCCTGATACTAGAATCTTTTTTTCTTAACATGTTTATCTTCCCTCTATTTTCTCTACTTTACACTAGACAAAAGCATGGAAAATATCAAAAATGCTTCTAATCTTATCACTTGGGCAGCCATTATAGAAAGAGATTTTTTTATTAATAAAGAAATTGAAAACTTACAATTTAAAAGATTCATCTAATATGTCTAAATGTATCGCACACAGAGCTGGTGCTATGCATTTTCCCACCTGATGCAATCTCTGTGTATCCTAAATTCTGCTGCCTAGTGCCCATCTAAATTCTGCTTCCAATGACTGCTCTAAATTCTAAAAGTTTTGCCATTTCTAGATTATGTTGTTCTGTGTGTCACTAAATTCTAAAAATTCTGCCACACCAGCTCTGTAACCAGCCATTACCATTATATATTTCATATTTCTTCTGAATGTTCATATTACTAAAGAAATAAAATTAGCCACTTTTTCTGTACATTCTAAATTCATTTAGTGTTTTTTAGAATAACAGAGATCCTTAATTAAATCCAAAAATTCTAAAATTAAAAGGAAACACGTTAAAGAAACTGAATACATAAAGAAAATCATTCTTCAAAGATATGGGCAGTTATTATTATGTCAATTACCCAATTATTTATGATTTCAGCCTTTACTATAACTTCCCATTTCTGTTTCGTCATGTGATAGTTACTGAGCCAGGTTAAATTTAAATTAAATTGTATAATCTTTGACCACTAGTCCATGTTTTCAGTATGAATTTGACTGTTCTTGTTTAATTATGTCACCTTGAGCTGTAATTGACTTTGTTAGCATCAGAACTTGCCTTAGTGTTCTAAGTTCTTTGTCTGATATTGTAGTTACTTTCAGACATAGTGATAATTTGCTTCATGTCTATCGGGTGGGGGGTTGGGACTATTTAACTTTTACCAGATCAAGTAAACCCTCATAGGTACATTGTGGAGAGGTTGATAAGTTAGGAGATAAAGCACACAGAAACTAGTTAGAACATTGGTTTATGTATTCAAACAGATTTTTAATTATTAGGAAAGATGTTTAAAGAGAAGAAAATTGATATAAATTAAGCGAAAATGTCTGGGAAGGCTTCAAATTAAAAAGATGCATAAATATTTTTTGAGTGTATAATTATCCTAATATCGTTTAAGAATCAATGAGTTTTTAATCTATAATTATCCTAATATCGTTTAAGAATCAATGACATAAATTGCATGTATTTTAACCTTTTGAGGCCGGGGCTTTGGTAGCAGTAAAAGCTACCAAAAGACGGGAAATCTTGAACCGAATGCTTTCCCCCTTTAAGAAATCACCTACTATTTGCAACAAAGATTCTTGTGTAGTTTAATGGATTCTCAGAGGGGTGCATCTTATGTAGGCAAAAGGAAGAGATCCTTTGAAAGAGATAAGTGGCTTGAAAACCCCAGGGACGTCAAATTTGACATTTCACCCCACTTTTCAGCCTGTAAAATGGGGGAAAAAGACATGGCCATTAAAGTGGACAACCCCGTCCATTCAAACAGGGAATACAACTGCCGATATATTGGCCATCCATCTACAAAAGGTTAAAGTGTGAAATTTTATTAAATTGTGATTTTAATAGGGACTTTTAACAATATTGTTAAAAAATAAGTAAAATTTAATAGTAATCATGTAAATCCATACTGACTAAGGTTTTCTAACTACCTAATTTAATTTATAACTAACTGCTTACTCTTAAAAATTATCTGTGCATAATGAAGTAAGTTATTACCTTTCATTATTCCTTAGCGTGGCACAAGGTTTAAACACAAAAATGTAAAAATTCATGTAAAATGTATTCTTAGTATCTAGTGAGACCTAAAATAATACAGAGCAACTTAGTGTCACCTCTGGGGCTTTAGTAGCTTATTGGAACCTTAAAGTATATTAACTTGATTACAATCCCTGGAATTCTACACGGAGCTACAACACTAACCACGACAGACAGAGCCCAACTAACTTTCAAAACTAGCTAACCGTGCCCACATCAGCCCTCTCAGTTTTGTTCTGATCAGCAGTTCTCTCTCTAGGTAAGAAGCAGCGGTGCCACTCTTTTGGTATAAATCATTATCAGCCAGTCTTTTGTTATAAATCATTCTGATTATGATTTTATTTCTCATTTTAAACTATGATGCTTGACATAAAAATCTAATTGCTATTTACTAAACCTCTGGATTGAGCAAGTAATAAGACATAAAAAATTGTTGAAAATTAGTTGAACCTTAAAGTATATTAACTGGTTTACAATCCTTGATCTCTACAAGAAGCTATCGTACTAACTGCGTCACACAAAGACCAACTAACTTTCAAAACTTGCCAACCGTGCCCGCATCAGGCCTTTCCGATTTGTTCTAATCAGGAGGTCTAGGCAAGCAGCAGTGGTGACAACATCCAGTTTTTTGTTATGAATCATGCTGATTATGATTTTAACTTAGTTTGCCAGTATTGCAAACTAAATGTGGTGGCTGCTTTAACAATTACGCACCAGAAATGTACAAAAGTAGCATGATTTATGAAATTCCAAGCCTTTGTTATTAAAAACTTTTTTTGGTTTATTCTTCATCCATATTTATAAACTATATGTATACTATTTATTTCTAAGCAGTCTTTCACTGAATACTAAGCTTCTTAATGATTCGTAATGTCTCATTTATTAAAAGTTTAGCATGAAATGTGTATTCTTAGGTAGTATTTGAAAAATAGCAGCATTTTAGTGTGGAGGTAAACAAGTCTAATTCTAGGTTTTTATCAATTTAATTATAAATTAAACTGCATTATTTTTAAAAACTCAGTGTTTTAATAATTCTGCTAAATATAAAAAAAGGGAGAGAAAATTGTATAGCAAATACTTTTTATAAATCAGACCTAATTATGTGATATCAATTTCTTTTGTATTGTGTTTAGGAAAGGATTTTAGAACTTTCTTTTGAATTTCAAATGCCATCAAAAGTTTTATAACTTTAGTTTTCCCTGTTCAAGTCTGATTTTCTATAGAAAAAAGTTTCAATAATTTAGATGCAAGACTTTTTCTGTGGCTGGAATAAATTTTCATAAGTTTTATAAATAAAATTGGAAATAAATGCTTTTCTTATTTATTTGTGTGAAAGTATTAATATTTTAGGAATGCTGTTTTATATTAGATTTCTTTTAATAGACACTCTGTGATCAAATGTATGTGGATGTCTCTTTGGAGAGAATGTGGTTGTTTTCAGGGCTTAATGTCTAAAATTAGAAGTGCCAGAAC